GGCAGAATGCAGAGTTTTAGTATGTTCAGTCCGTACCTCACAGGAAACATTACGTCTCCGCTATAAAGCCCAGCCGGTTAATGCTGTTTAGGGAAACAGTCGCTGTTTACTGTGAGAACTATACGGAACACACAGATACACTGTGTGGGCAGAATATTAAACGAGGTGGTACATAGTTACCATTGTGCCTTAAACTGATAAATGTAGTTAACTAACTGACTAACTCCAGTGACTATATTCTACCTTCAGAAGCTGATATGCGCACAATAACTCAGTAAACTTCGCGCCTTTTATGGAACCCGAAGGTTCATTACCTTGTTCACAACTCGAACTTCATTTCTTGAAGTTACATTTAAATATCGTCCCATCTGCTCCCAGGTCTTCCAAGTGGTCTCATCCTTTCGAGTTCTTTGCCCATTATTCTCTGTGAATTTCTCATGTCTTCTTTGCATGCTACGTGTTCCACCCATATGATCACTCTTGATCTGAACTAATAACGTATGACTAGAGGACAAGTCACGGAGCTCCTCTCTGCCTTCTCCCTGCCTCTGCTGGTCCACAGGATAAATTGATGCAGTCACGGATTTGCCAAGTTATCAGTACGTGTATATCTCTGTGGACTGTTGTGAACACGGCAATTTAGTGACCAGCTGAGCGAATATCAGTTCCTCAAGAAGGTACTCTTCAGATCTGCTTCCAAGGTGAATAAAATACATATCTTATGAAAGATATGTCTTCTGGAATGTGGCGCCGTGTAGCTCTTGTGTGAACCGACGTTTCGGAGGAACGTGTATCCTCCATCTTCAGAGTAGGAAAATCTGCGAGCGAGGAACCAGCGTGAGCAGGTGGCTACAGACATATCTTATGTTCGTAGCGTCTGTGAGAGTACGTCATATCTTGAGTAGGCAGTCTCAGGCGAGAAAAGTATCGTGGGTTCGAATCGCCTGTATGGATATTGAGGTTCTGATCGTATGTTGAAAGTAGGTTCTGGTAACTTTGTGATTGATCTGCGGCACCGTCTCATAGTGACGTAGCCTCAAAGCTGCTTCAGATGCAGTATAGGCCTGTTAGGATTTCGCTATGTCACATGACTGTTCGAGCAAACAGCGACGGGCTGTTGCCATCATTCTGTCAGACGCTGAGCACACAAACACTGGTTTCTGCAGTGCGGATCAGCAGACTTGGAACTGAGCAGACCAGTGACTTGCTGCTGAGCATAGCCGTTCTTAATTTCGGGACCGATTGTCATATTTTTGTTCTTTCCCAGACCACTTATGTGTTCTGAAATGGGTGGGACCTCCTCTTCAACAAGAGGAGGGTTGTGACTTCTATTGTCGACTCTTCGAACTGAGGCTCATCAACGCGATATTATTTATTTGCGAACTAACGAGGTGGGAGCCATCTTTAGTGTAGGGTCTTGAAATCTTGAGTGGTGTATATATTCGAATAGAGGAAATAAACTGTGAGAATTTCACTGACAGAGTCAAATATATATTAATTTTGAAAATGAAAAGTCGAAAAGGTTGTTCTTTATATGTATGTAAACAGAGGCATGCAGGTTTGAGAAGGGCGGGCAATGGAACCTTTGCCAAGCTGAAGAGGCGACGTTTACGAAACCACTGCTCTCCTTACGAACCCAGTAAGGGGTTGCTGTTGCAAAACTGAAGCAACGGAGACAAGCACGGTTGCCTGTGCAACAAAAGCACGACGGCGCGATGAGGTACTGCAAATAACATTCGAAGTTTCAAATTTTCGAAGCGCCAAATTGACATGCTGTTCGCTTTCCCTAGTTCGTCTACCGGTGGTAGCACTGTCTTAACGCAGATTTCCATCTCCCCACATTTTATGAACACACTCAAAATTAGTCGACCAGGAATCTTCCTGGGGGTAAAGGGCGGCCGGCGCGTAAGGCTGACAACCTCACCGCCATCTGTGAGCCGATTGTCTAGAAAATGTGGGAGCCTCGACGTCTCACAACCCTATGGGTCTCCACGGCCTGTTACAGGGATAATTTACCTTTACCTTTACCTTTACTCAAAATTAGTTACCCTTCCTCTAATACGTAACTTCTTATGGGCGCAATTTACTTTTAGAATATAAAGCTTTATTAGCACTGAGGTAGTGCGGCATCTGCATTTAGCGGCTTGCTTGATGACGACGAACCACTGCGGCTAGCCGCTTACAGAATCTCATGTTATATCGCGTCAAGTGTTAAGATTATTAGCGAATAAAGAAGGAAAGACGTTGTGTGGCCTAGTCTGAAATCCTATCGTGTAACTTTCCGGGAGGGACTGAGAGAAACGTCGAAAAATCTTATTCAGAATAGCAGGTCTCAGGGGCTAGATTTGGTGCAAGGACCTTCCGAATAGGAAGCAAGAAGAAAAGGAAGGGTGAAGGTAACATTATCCTTGTGGTTGTTACGTCACGTGATCTTGTACAGTATACGCTTTCAGTTGCTAAGATTATGGCGTCGGAATAAGGAAACAGGAACTGGGGTGCAAATCTTTGAGGTTATGGGAACTTGTCATCATCATCATCATCACTGGCATGACAGCCCTTCGTGAACCCTGGCCTACCTCAGGATTGCTCGCCGTTCTTTTCTATTTGATGCTACATTCCTCCAGTTCTTTGCACCCAAAATTCTTATGTCCTGCCACACACATTCTTCCCATCTTAACCTTGGTCTTCCCACTCTCCTATTTCCTTCTGGTTTAGTATTAAGCATTTTCTTGATGGTTCTATTCTCGCCGGCACGTATTGTGTGTCCAGCCCATTCAAGCCTTTTCACCTTTATAAATCCAATAATGTCTGTTCATTAAATAGTTTGTATAGCTCATGGTTATACCTCTTCCTCCATATTCCATTTTCTTCCACTGGTCCACAGATACGTACATCTCAGGATCCTCCTTACGGGAACTTGTATCAATGTGAATTTATGCACAGAAATTCGTACAGTCATTAGAACAGACGGAAGAAACGTCTGAATGCAGTGCGGAACCAGAGCATGACACCAGTGATAAGCCGAGTGAAACAAAGACGAAGAACAAGCATATAAAAATGTCAAGTTCTCTGGTCACGGGCAGATCGGTTCAATATTCTCATCACGTCTCTGACCTTACATAGAGTAAGGGTCAGTAACAAGCCATAAGATCCAAGTATGCGACAAGCTGCAGAGATTATGCCTGGCAGAGAGTGAAATATAGCGATTGCAGCAGTTCACACGCTTCCAGCGCTGGCCGCGAGGAGCATTTGGATGGCGTGCTATTGTTGCAGTTTCGTGTGCCGTGAGTAGGCCGCCTGCATTCTTTTACTATTTAACCTAAATGTCATTTTAAAATATTGTACATATTGCAGACATCATTATTAACTGAACTGAAAGAATAGTTGTGAGATCAAGCTGTACAGAAGAATGTTTAACCTGCATTTGCTCATTATGAAGTTTGTAATTTGTGGATTTGGTAATAGTGTCTTCTGATTTCTCGAACAGCGTTTTTGGATTTTGATGTTTTATTTTTAGGAAACGGGTCATAAAATTAAAGTAGAACTGTTTTATTGTAGACTTAACAGTGTGATTGTCTTATTACTTGATATTCACGTTACATGAAAGTCCTGAAAGAACATTTGATACATCTGTGATGGAGATGCAGGTCAGTTACATTCGTGTATGTTGATGTATGATATATATATACAGTCATGTGAATTCTGAAGTGGAATTAAGATCTGAAGTAATCAGAAACAACTCTATATCAACTGATCCTATTCATGTTTCTTATTATTAAAGAGAGAATTGTCACGCTATGAGTAATCTAGCAGAGCAAGCAGTGCTGGTGGATACATTCAAGGGATTTTAGCGGATTCCTTCCTCAGAAGTAAATATTCGGGCAGCTAGTCAAATTCTCCGCCCCTTACGGAACCCGAAGGCTCATCGCCGTGTTTGCAAGAGGCGACAGCTGCTCCCTGTCTTCAGCTAGAAAGCTAGATGAATCCAGTTCAGGTTTTGGCCTTCTTTTATTTACGACATATTGTTTTTTTTTCGGGTGAGTTTCTGTATGAAACAGGGGTACCCGGTAGCGTAGTTGGTTGAGGTATTGTGCTACAAGCCGGAAGGTCACGGGTTCGATCCTCGATGAGGTCATTGGATTTTTCAGTTCACGTAATTCTTCCAGCCGCATTATGGCCCTGGGATCGACTTAGCCTCTAACAGAAATGAGTACCAGGATTTTTCCTGGGGGGTAAAGGGCGGCAGGCGCGTAAGGTTGACAACCTTACCGCCATCTATGAGCCGATTGTCTAGAAAATGTGGGAGCCTCGACGTCTCACAACCCTATGAACCTCCACGGCCTCTTACAGGGATAGCTTTGCCTTTTTTATGAAACAGCTGTAAATAAGAAATTATATTGAGATTTTGACGGAATTAATTTTAGCATGGAACGTAAATAAATGCAGGCGCAGGTTTCAGTGGGCAAGAGCCGAAAGAAACGCATGTTTTCATATTTCAGTGTCATGTCATGTTATTGTAACATTGTTAGTGTAAATTAACACTATTTTCGAGATACTGTGAGATAATAACGTGAGATAGAGTTGCTTGCTTATTAAGTATATTGAGACATATTTAGATAAAAATTGTAGATACTAGTAGGCGCAACCTATTTAACCTGTCCTTCGTTAATTTGGCATGTTATCTTCAAGATAACAATGATTATGGAATAATAAAGCCAGTTATTTGAATGATAAGAAAATCGCATAGAATGTCACAATCGCTTGGTCAAACTCCTGCTTCAAATTAGCATGGTCCTGGGTTCAAATTCTGGTTTAGAGACTGACTGTCGTGACTCAGGATTTTCGTGGTTTCGATTAATCCCTTCAACCAAATCCTAAGATACGTGTATATCTCACGTCAGGCCACTACCGCTTCCATCAACATTCTCTCGAATTCGTTATCCTTACTGATTCTATCATTGAGCGCTGTTTAGTGCAGGTTGGAGAGGCGACAAAACCAAAATGCACGGTGTAAGCGTCAGCCCCGCTGTAAATGTGATTGTAGGCTGTCACGAAGCCAATATAATATACACGTAATTTTGCGTCTTATCGCATCAGCAACTGATAATTGTACAACCTGACATACTATGTATATAGGAATATAGATGCTTATATTTACAGGGTGTCCCAGGAGGAAAGGTCAATATTCTGGGAGGTCATAATATCGGTCATTCTAAGCAAACAAGTGTATATGTACATGTGTCCTATTCCGAACGGTTTCCGAGATAGAGCTATTTCACTGTACAGTACACTGTACACTGGACAGACGAGCAGCACGCCATGTCCTCACACGAGTTGCACCGAGATAGAGCTATTTCACTGTACAGTACACTGTACACTGGACAGACGAGCAGCACGCCATGTCCTCACACGAGTTGCACCGAGATAGAGCTATTTCACTGTACAGTACACTGTACACTGGACAGACGAGCAGCACGCCATGTCCTCACACGAGTTGCACCGAGATAGAGCTATTTCACTGTACAGTACACTGTACACTGGACAGACGAGCAGCACGCCATGTCCTCACACGAGTTGCACCGAGATAGAGCTATTTCACTGTACAGTACACTGTACACTGGACAGACGAGCAGCACGCCATGTCCTCACACGAGTTGCACCGAGATAGAGCTATTTCACTGCGCAGTACACCGTACAGACGAGCAACACGCCCATGTCCTCACACGAGCTGCAAAGTGCATTGGTGTTGACGGTGGAATTTTCAAAAAGGTATTACACTAGGTAAACTGTACCAACTTTGTCACTGAACAGTAAATACCGGTATTAGAAACATTACGTAATGTCTCTTTCTTATCAACAGTTTTGGAACTCCACAGTGAAATAGCGCTATGTGGGAAACCGTTCGGAATAGGGCACATGTACATATATACTTTTTTGCTTACGATGGTCGATGCTATGACCTCCAAGAATATTGAGCTTTCATGCTGGGACACCCTGTGTGTGTACATGAAGACTTTATGTTTGTGTAATGAAAATTTATACATCCATTTTACGTTCCCTTAGAAATTACTTTCACGTCTTACCCATTTGTATTGCATTATCCATTTTACAATTTATGAGTACAGTTTAAGAATTACCTATGTAGGTTTCGAATACGCGCAAATATCTGAAGACTGCGTAGCACCTCTAATCACGCCCACCCACTCGAAATGGGACAGATCAGAAATGCGTACAAAAGGGAAATCTGATGAGAAGATACCTCGTGGAAGACCTAGGCGTAGACGGGAAATTAATGTAACGGCATACCGTAAGGAAGGAGGATACTGAAATATAAATCGAAATGGACAGTTTTGGGATTTTTGTTTCATTTTTCAAACCTGATACTCTGATATTTGAAGGTTGCAAATAGCAGCAGTCTGTGCCCATGGATGATCTACAGAGGCAGTGAAACGCTATTTCAGTACTGATAAATAAAGTCAAGTAAAACATTTGCCGTTAAGTTTACAGGCCAGTGAAGTCACGTGTAAGAGGCTGATTCCGTGAGATGAAAGCCTGATGACTGACGTATTTTGGTGAAGTACTGCCATGCTCACGCATCTGAGTCTTCTGCGTGGCAACTGATGAGATGTACAGTCCTGTACTGTTTCTTAAACTGTGGTTAACTATTCGTAATTTCGGGTTACCATGGCAACGGACTGTCGGGCGTTAACAAGTTGCATGGATTTAAGTTACCTAGTATGTCACGAACGAGCGAACATCTTTTGTTTGTAGTAATGAAAGACTGACCTGCACAAATATGATCCCTTTGTTAATATTTCAATTTTACTGTTGATTTAAATGGGTCATTCTTTACTGCGTGGGCGCTCGCTTGTAACTTGTACGCTCGCCGCATTTCATTTTATTATTATCTTGGACAGTAGTGATGCTGTGAAGTGCTGTGACAGTTGGTATACGCGACGTTTCGGAAACTGGACCCATTAAAGGCGGTAAGGGTGCATACTCAGTTTGCCTGTTTAGAACTGGATATTGGCACAGAGCTGGTTGTGTTCTAGAAGTACTGGGTTTGAATCTCTGCCGCGGTACCTGCTACTTTGAATTTTTGTTGTGATTTTCCTCAGGAAAATGCCGGGATAGTATTTCTAATTTATTATTCACCGATCATTCTACCGTTTAACGGTGCATGATACGAGATACTGACAGTGTCATTAAACAAACCCCAACAAGTGGGTAGCTGTGTCGTGCAATATCAGTTCATGTCACGCGTGCTGCAGATTACCAGCCCTTATGTATTTAATATGCGAATAGTGTCCAGAGTTTACACTCCCCTGCAACACCCGATCTGACCGGTTGTAACCGGGCTGTATTACATCTCGTGCCGAGACACAAGCCTGGATTAGTTGAAACGGTCATCTCTTCTGTACGCATATTGATGAGTGAAGTGAAGTAGCTGTCATGCTATTTAACCCTATAAAGCACAGTGGTCACTGTATGTACCACCTGCTTTAGCATTAAATTAAGTCCCGGTACTGCCCACAGAGTGTATCTGTGTGTTCCGTACGGTTCTTACAGTAAACAGCGACTGTTTCCCTAAACAGCATTAACCGGATGGGCTTTGTAGCGGAGACGTAATGTTTCCTGTGAGGTACGGACTGAACATACTAAAACTCTGCATTCTGCCCACAGAGTGTATCTGTGTGTTCCGTACGGTTCTTACAGTAAACAGCGACTGTTTCCCTAAACAGCATTAACCGGATGGGCTTTGTAGCGGAGACGTAGTGTTTCCCCAGCAAGAGGGTTCGAGGGGAGTGGGCAAACCAGGCGCCTGCCCTCCCACGTTTCCTTGTTCTTTTTAAAGAATCCTATTTTAAGAGAAGAAAAAATTGCGAAATATTAATAGTAGAAATTAAAAGTGACTTTTATGTTGGTCTATTCCAGTACTCTTGGGCCATCAATAAACGTAGTTGCAAGCTACCGAATCGTATGTCTAGAGCACATTTTCTAGCTGCCCCTGTTTGGAAAACTGACCCCCTTCCGAACGTGGGAAAAATTCTGTCGTCGCCTATGGCTCCAGTAGCTTGTCTCGCCTACGAAAAGGAACTTCGAGTTGTGGCATTCGCTTCGTTCAAGGTCTGTTGTGTCCCATTTTGAAGAGTTATATAACTAATTAGACTAAGAATAGGGGCGATATGTAGACGCGCTAACGAAGCGTAGATGAGCACATTGCCTTTGACAGGATTCAGATCTCGGTCCGTCTGTTACGTAACTGGCTCTGATGCGGTTCAGTTGTCAAATTGTCTCCTGGATTACAAAACCTTGTCACGTAGCATATACGTGTATACTTACCAACGTTTCATAGGAGTCCGCTGCCACATGTTCACTTCCACCCTGAAAATGGAGGTTGTGTGTTCCTCTGCCATCTGCGGGACTGCACTGTTTTATGAGCCAGAGAAACAGTCTTCATAGCAGTGTGAACCTCGAACCAGTTCAGCGTTGATCAGGACGATTACAAAGCTTTGGCTGTACAACCTGACACTTTGAAGGCCTGGGTGTAGATGTAAGGATATTATGTTCTGGGAATAACTAGTCGCCTACTTTTCTTTGATCGACACGGAGCTCATAGAAAACGAAAAAGGAGGGACACACAGACACACACAGCTAGGTGACCACATAAGCCTCATATCCCTAAAAATTAGGGGGGCTACACAGCTAGATGGACAGACAGGATACACAGACAGACAGCAAGATCTTCCCATAAGCCTCCTTTCATTTTTCAAAAAAGGAAAGTGGGCTAAAAATGAGTATTGAAGGAACATGGCGAGAAGGCTCGGGCTGGATTAATCTGGCTAATAAGAGAACAGTGGCTGACTCTCGTGAACACTGATGAACCGTCACGTTCGACGAAAGAGGGCGCTCTGTAGAGTTCGGTTCGTAACAGTCATTTTGCAGAGCGAAGCTTTCATTGTTTCGCGCGCCACCCTTGTGCCCACCCCATGTACGTTTCTGCACGGCATTGGCCAGCCCCATGCGTGGGGCCTATAACTGTTGCGTCTCCTCGTCACGTTCGCCCAGCCAATGGCAGCTCTGCGCTCCGTCTGCCTTGAGTTTCAGGTCTCAGCGCTCCGAGGCACAACGCGGGTTCTCACATACTGCAGTGAGTCATTCTATTCCTGAATTTATAGCCCTGTAGATGCTGCCCGTATCAGAGCATTGCGTCGTCTTGTCTCGATTCATTTGTATTTGGAAAAGAAATGGGCAGTGACATCTGTTGAACAGTTTATGCCACTTGCGGGTTTCGGCGATGCAGATTTGGTTGCCATGGAAATGTGAGCCCATAAACACGGAAACAAAACACAATCGGGTTAGTGAATACACAGCAAAGAAACGCCGAAACTATCCTTTGGTATCTGCACGTGGCTTCTTATGAGGCCACATCTCATATGTAAATGATGGACTTTATTGTGTGGACATAATCCGACAACGCAAGGCACACGCGTGGATAGATTTACAACTATCAAACATGGCGTAATGTTTGCTGTATGTCGCTTCTTCACGGCCAGTAAAAGGTAAAAAAAAAGAAAAGAAAATGTAAAAGTTTCCCTGTAACAGACCGTGGAGGCCCATAGGATTGTGAGACGTCGAGGCTTCCACAATTTCTACACAGTCGGCTCACAGATGGCGGCGAGGTTATCAGCCTTACGCGCCGGCTGCCCTTTACCCCCCAGGAAGATTCCTGGTACTCATTTCTGTTAGGGGTTGAGTCTACCCCAGGGCCATAGTGCGGCTGGAAGCATTAGGTCAATTTAAAAATCCAACTCAGCGGGACTCGAACCCGCGACCTTCCGGCTTGTAGCATAGTGCCTCAACCAATTACTTCTTCACTGCCAGTACAAAACAAATTCCCGTTGCTGAAGCATAAGATCTCAGAGTTAAATTGCGTTAAATATTAACGAATGCAATGAAGTCTCACTGGAGGAACTTGTCGGGGTAGCCAGTTGCAAGACCGAGATTCGAATTTGGAACCCCCCGAACACGAAGCGGGGATGTCTCTTGTGATTATGCCGGAATTACAGCGGCTGGAAAGAAATTCTTGAGAAGAATAAAGCCCATACTAGACCCAAATTTCGAAATACGAAAGCAGTTGGATTCAGCATGTCTGCAGACCTTCGGAAACAGCTGAAGAATTACAAAACGCATGGAACCGGGGGAGTCCTTTGAAGAGACAGCTAGGCGGATGTGGCCGGATAGGGTCTGTAAGTGGTCCACTGCCTCACTACTGGATTATTATTATTATTATTATTATTAT